TTTGAATCACCTTTTTTCCCTGGAACATTTATGGACGTTTAAAAATCACAATGACACAGGATATTCTCAGTCTTTTATCCCTCTGATCTTTAAACTAGAGCTCAGTGAGGCCTGGGGATGATATATTTATGTATAATGGAGGTTTTAAAAGTTGTATTTATTCCTTATCCCTCTCCATGTTGCAGGAGCTTCCTATCAACATTAAATTCTGCTTCGAGGGGATGGAGGAGTCTGGATCCGAGGGCCTGGATGAACTGGTGTTTGCTAGGAAAGACACCTTCTTAAAAGACGTCGACTATGTCTGCATCTCTGACAACTATTGGCTGGGCAAGACCAAACCCTGCATCACCTACGGTCTGAGGGGAATCTGCTACTTCTTCATTGAGGTAGAGTCTGATTGTAGTGCTGTTTTAGATTTATAGAGTGATTCAGTGTTTCAGTATAACACGAATGTACTTCGGTGTGAATGTTAAAAAGTTTATTTTTTTTTTATTTTAAAGGTGGAGTGCGGTGACAGAGACCTGCACTCAGGGGTGTTTGGCGGCTCTGTTCATGAAGCCATGACTGACCTGATTGCACTTATGGGTAAGTTAGAAGCTGTAAATTAAACTATTGCGTGCAGGTTTAGAGGAAAACACTCGTAGCATTTCTTTGACCTACACTTTACACACTTTCAGGAGAGTTTAAATCCTGTGTTTGTCTCTTCCTAAACAGGCTCCCTGGTAGACAAGAAGGGGAAGATTTTGGTTCCTGGGATGAGCGACGATGTGGCGCCTCTGACAGAAGAGGAGAAAAAGCTGTACGAGAAAATAGAGTTTGACCTGGAAGAATACTGCAAAGACGTTGGAGTTGGAAAGCTACTGCACGAAACCAAGGCAAGGCGTTGATTTCTGTTGTTTAGTTCACTCAAAGCCGATACATGCGCTGCTTTTGTTTGTTCCTGTTGATCAAGTTGAGAGGGAGCTGTGGTTGTGAGACAACCGGTGAATCAGGTCAATATTATCCATGGATCATTTCACCCACAACCACACCCCTGCACACTTGATTTGTTGAGAAGTCTGTCATCTTGGCTGAGCTAAACTAAACATACCACAGCCTGTTAGAAAGTGAGAAGTAG